TGTATAGCCACTTAAACAACAGATTTTAGTACCTTAGGATTCTATTGGAGAGTCAGACATAGGTCTCAATTGGCTAAAATCACTGTCAGCTGGGCTGCATTCTTCTTGAAGGCTCTAGAGGAGAAGCATTTTTTTTTTTTTTGGCTTTTCCACCTTCTAGGGTGGCCACCCACATTTCTGGGCTCCAGGCCCCTATCTTCCACCTTTAAAGCCAGCAACTTTGCCTTTCTCTATGCCTTTTTCCTCAGTTACATCTTTCTCTAAAAAGAGAAAACCCTCTTTCACCTTAAAGACACTTGTGATTACATTGATATCACCCAGATAATCCTGACTATTCTTCTACTTTAAGGTCAATTTATTAACAACCTTTGTCCCATCTGCAACCTTAATACACTTTTGCAATGTAACCTAACCTCTTCACAGTTTCCGGGCATTAGGATGTAGACATTTATGGAGAGTCCTCATTCTGCCTACCACACACTTATTAATATTTAAGCCAGAGGTCACACCAACCATCAGGTGACTTTGAATAGAGACTAGAGTTGAGGTGGATTTGCATCAGAAAACCTGATCCTTGGCATCTTGCCAGCCAGCTATACATGTGGAACCCCATCATTTCATTAATCGCACAATAGTAACCCTGATTTTTAAAAAAGTAATCCTGATTTTCAAGTCATTTATGAGCTGTGTTTATTATATCATGTAAAGTTTTTTTTTAATTGTATTTTAATAATTTGAATTGGTTGGGCAAGGGGTGGGAGGTGGGGATTAGGTTAGAAGTGATTACAATAGCCAGGCAAAAGGGAACAAGGGCCTGGGTAAGGGCAGCGTATGGAAGTGTGAATGGAAACACAGGTTTGAGAGGCAGTGTTCACAGGCCTGGGGAACCTGGCATCTGCAGGAGGTAAAGGGGAGAGACAAAGGGGACACCGAGGAGGCTTCCACAGTAGGGTGCTTTGGTACAAGGCGGACATGCTTTTCAAGGCTGAAATTTATAGCATGTGGGAATGATTGAATGTGGATAATAAAAATGAATTTAAAAATTCAAGAAGTTTCTACATGATTGAACATAAATGATTCAGATACAATGATGTCAGGAAAAAAGGGAAGTTTGGAGACAGAGCCAGTTTTATGGGACAGCAATGAACCGATGTTTGGACCAGTTATGGACGATTCATAGAAGTCAGCATGAGTTTCACTCAATTGCCCCTGTATTTGTGTTACTAACTGGTTATTTCTCTTATACTTTGTCTTCAGCAAAAAATTTTGAGGTATCTCAAAGGCAGCAAAGCAGTGATAACATTGTCTTTGTAAACCCAACTGATTAGCATAAAATTCTGGTTCATCCAAAATTATACATTTTACATTTTGATTTGTTACATAAAGAAATGAATAGCTGGTGATAAGGTAGGATGACGAGTGCTAAAAAGAAAAATAAAGTATGGTAAGGGGATAGAGGAAAACATGGAGTTGTAGGTGCTATTTGAGATAGATTAGTTGAGGAAGCCTTCTCTAGACATGAACTTGGAGCAGGCCCCAGCAGGAGGTGAGGAAGGGAGCCATGCGAATAGCTCGGGGTCAGTGGTCTAAGAGGAGGGAGGAGCCAGCACAGAGCTCTGAACTGCGGAGTACACAGAGTGCGGAGGCCAGTGCGGCTGGAGCAGAGTGAACTTGGGAGGAAACTGGAGATAGAAAGGGAAGAACAGCAGTGGGCAAAATGAAGTTAGGTGACTGTAGATACTGGGGGGAGGGTAATCAATTCCTTTTAAGGATTTCTTCATCTTCTTCCTATAGAGATTAATCCTGTGGCCTTTTAAAAGTGTGTGCACACTTATCCCTATTCCACACATGTGATGGTGAGTGCATACCTGGCACTGCACCTCATAACAGTGAGGTGTGACTTTGTTATTGATTTCCAGGGAGGTTAATGTTGTCTTTGATGGTGAAGTTAGCTGCTTCCCTGGCTTCATCTCTTTATCGTTTCCCCTCTTGGCTAAACCTCTTTTTTGCTTTTACTGTCTTTTTTATGAACCTGGATCAGGCCATGCTTGTTCCTAGTTCAGGACTTTTGCACCTGAGTTCACTCTGCTTGAAATTCATGTTTAAATCTTTGCATGGCTATCTGCTTTTTGTCATGTATTTCTTTCGTTCTATGGCACTTCCTCGTAACCATTATGTAGATTTTGCAGAAAGTTTATAAAGATATTTGGGTATATAAAGATATTTGGGTAAATAGAGGATATCTATTTATCCTAAATAACTTTTCTCCTGCATTCTGTATGGCTATATTCCTGAATCAAACTAACAACTTTATTTTTCAAGTGGTTACTGATGAAGAGGCGGGCAACTTGTAGAACAGAGGAGAAATGGGACGATTCAGTGGTGGCTTGGAAGATTGGGGTAACCTACACTGTCTGGGAAGATTAGAGTAACCTACACTGTTTTGACGGTCAAATGGAGGAAGGAGAAATAGAGCTTACCCACTAGCCCAAAGAAGACTTTCTTGCTGTTTGGTATTATGTTTAGTAAAAATATGTATGCTAAGAATGAAGTGCTTAAAGTAAAAATGAAAGTGTTCATAGTAAATGGCCTGTTCTTGCCAACAGCTCTTATAAATGGCAATGATTTATTTCCTGTTAGCATTATTTCCTTGGTAATTGCATAGCTGTGTCAGAAGCCTTTGTTTCTTCTTTTTGGAGAGGAGGGGAAGATACGTTTTAGATTACTGGCAGACTGATCTCAGTCCTGAAGAAAGGAGCCAAGTGGAGGCAATTAGCAAACGCTATCCTTTTTGTCTTTTAAGGCATAGATAACACTGTCTTTTGTTTTTTAAGGGGTAGATAAACTGGGTGTTTTCTTATCACACCATCCAGATTTGGCATATTTGGTTAAGTCCTTCTCTCCCCAGGTGTACTGAGTGGTTTGTGAACTGTATCCCCAATGCTGTTTGCTAGGAGAGGACTGGCTTAACTGGAGCCGATGTTCATGCCGAGCTACAGCAGCATCTATTTTAGACCTAAGGTTGTCCAAAGAATACTTCCATAGGGTATAGGCAATTTAGGAAAAGCTACTATGTTTGGGAAACTCGGTTAAGAACAGTTTCTTCATGTAGCACTTCTTAGAACCTTTAGGAAAACAAAGGCATTGATTAGGAACCAACCACAAGGTAGTAATGTATTGTTTATTTCTTAAATGAGTTTGGTCATATAAACTTTTTTTCCAAGATGAGTCTTGAGTGAAATATACTTTAGAAAAGGTATTTTAAACAAATGCTATGGGTGGTCAGTTAGCTCTCTAGAACTGTTAACAGGCAGAGAGAGCTGCAGCTCTAACCAATGCCCTACCATCCAAGGTTCTCTCAACTCCTTTAATCCATATGCTTTGTAAAGTCCCACCAAGAGGGCCCACATCTAGCCCTCAGGTGTACCACTGACTTGGTATTTGAGTCATACTCAGCTATTATGGATCAGAGGACTGATGGGTTAGGATCACTACCCCCAGATATTGAACATTTATGACTTACAAATGTATTTGATATGTCTCAGGAAATATTATCAGACCTATGACACCTGGCTAACTTGAAGTTTGTTATGAAGTTTAGACCTTCAAGCTAGCTAACTCGTGGTTTTGTAGCATCCATTTCATCAGAGACAGAATGCTGAAGGATGTTGAAAGAGAGATTGCAGAATACTCTGTTATTCATCAAAGGACACTTAATTCTTTGAGGTGAAGGCATTTATACTCAGGAAGTCAGCAGTCCAAAACGCCCATACACAATTCCAAGACCTAGCCATTACTGGACCTTCTTGTATTTTGAACATCTTGACTAAAACCTGTTTCAGTAGGATTTTTCAGGTTCAGATCTACTCCAGGGAGACCCCTGGGCAAAATGTTAAGCTTTCAGGGTTTCTTGGGTCTTGGCCTATTCATAGTTCTCTTAAGGGACACAATTTATATTACTTATTTATACCCCAAAATATCTCAGACTTTGTAGTCTTACATAAAGACCAGTAGCTTACTTAAGAATCTATTCTTAAGTCAGAATAGACAAAATTCTTGTTGGTGAATGAGACAAAATTATAAGTAATTTGAATGACAAAGGTAAGATAAAGGAAAAGTGAATGTAAAAAGGGTAAGTTAGAAGTAACATTATTCATGTCACATTTAATGCCAATAATTCCTGGGCTACACATTCCACAGGCTAAATATCTTATTAATATGAGTATTAATATATGACTTGGATAAGACTGATGATACTAAAATTAATTTTTCAAAGCAGGATGAATGCAGTTTCTCTTAGAAGCATTAAATCATCATCCAGAAAAGTAAATTGAAACTGATTATAAAATGTCAGCTTGAAAACTTTCCATAATGTTGCATATTTTGCATAATTTCAGCTTGTAATGTTTAAAAAGATTTTTAAATGTTGCTATAAGATGAAGGCACTATTTAAAGAATAATCTTAATAAAATATAGCTTAGATATCTTTTAATAATCATGTTTCATAGCTATTAAGTTTTAGATGTGAGGTTTTAGAAACTACAGTGCATTTTCAAATACTACCTGTGGAGGTTCTTTTAAGAGATTCAAATCTTAGCTGAGCTCATGCATCACTGAGACAGTATATTATGCTCTCAGTGGCAATAAATATTAGGAATCTGAAAAAAATGCACAGTGATGGATCACAGCCTCCATTTCCATTATCTTCCTAACAATTAAAAAAGTTCTAATTTCCAAACGTTCTTCCCAGGACTTGGTTTTGATAAAAGCAAGGAAGGATAATTGACAAATTATATAATTTTTCTTTCTTTCATGAGACTATCTTGATTTCTTGGCTATTCCAGCTGAGAGCTATATGCCACATTTCAGCTCAGATTAATCCCTCTTTGATTCTTTCTTCCCAACACATTCACCAGTTATTCTGATTTTCACCTTTTGTATAATTTTTTGAAGTGATGACAGAAAATGAGACTAACCGGCCCCCCCACCGTAAGACTTACCTCTCTCGAGGGCGCGCACAAAAGCTGCAGCAAGCAGGAGGACCAGGACCCTCTTCATCTTCATGCTGGCACGTTCTGTGGTGCCCGTGTGTCCTGCCGGTTACCCAGAAAAAATGGCAGCCAAAAGTAGCCACGTCCCTTTTGTTAAGGTTCCAGACTATGAACTAATGAATCATTAATCTCTATACAGAAGCAAGGGCGGTCATCCTTGGCCCACACAGATAAAATATCAATCAAGGTAAATAGACACCCTGGGGAAAATTGGACAAATCGAGGAGATTTTAATCATTAACTTTGTCAAACGGCAAAAGAATCAGTGTACACATAGATTATTTACCACTGCTACTTTTTACAAAAATTTGTTTAATGTATTAGTTAGGTACATTCCTGCCCCCTCTCTACTGCGTTATGTCTGTTTGGGACAATCCTTACTCTTCTCATGTGTAAATGGAACCTTGGAGCTTCTTTCTTTCTCTTCCTCTCCCTCTCCCTCTCTCCACCCTTGCCTTCTTCCCTCCCTCTGTTTAAACCTGCTACAAATACAGATTACCTTAAAATATTGCAGACTAGGCATTTTAAGTAATAAGGAGGAAACAAAAGAGTAAGAAGCCAGTTTATCACAATTGTTCAAATCCATAATTTCAATACTATAAAATTTATTGAAGATGATGGTTATGTGCTATATATCACATTTTTCAGAGCTACTGACATTTTTATTTTAACACTTGAAGCGAGGCAAACAACTGGAGAGAATGTATGACTTGTCCCAAATTACAAAAGTTAATGGTGAATTTTGGACTTCTCCAGGTAATTTAAAGTTCTTTCCATTAATACTATATAACTGACTTCTTTTGAGATACTGTAGCCTGAGAGCTCACAGTGGCTGTGCAGAATGTATAGTTCAGCATCTCCATTTTACAGAAGAGAGAACAGGTAGCTTCTGTGACGTGCCCAGAGAGGCACAGGTAAATTTCAGTCGTTCACTGGAAGCAGGTCAACTTCTCGTCCTTGAGGGGTCCTCTTTTCAGGAAACAGGGCCAGGTAGGATTTGGGTACACGGGCTCTAGAATTGAATCAGTACTCAGCTCTTATTGGCTGTGTAACTTTGGGAAATTATTTTCTCTAAGTCACATTTCTCTCACATGCAAAGTGGTGATAACTCTTAGTACCTTTGTCACAAGATTGTTATGAGTTTTATTAAGATAATGCATGTGCAGATTTACCATAACATCGAACACATGGTAACATACATTGATATTATCTATTAGTCTAATTCCAGTTATTACCACTTTCTTCACTGGCTCTCCAAATTTGTATCTGAGAAGATCATTGAAACTAATGATTAGGCTTAGACACTTCACATGTAAGTGATGTAGAATTCCATTATCAATTTTGTAACCAAGGATTAACTACATAGGCAGCTACATTTTTAGTGAGATCCTCCATCTATCTTGAAAATACCTGGGTGTTAGGTTCAGACAATAGAGTTCATTTAGTTGGAAAAGGGTATCTAAGCAAAGCAAAGCAATCTCTGTAAGGTCAAAGGAATCCCATGTGGTAAAGGAGAACTTGCTAGAGGAAATAATGGGAAGAGAGCTTTGATATTCAAAGATCAGCTTCTGCCTATTACAAATCTTCCAAACTTTTCTTTTTGCTGAACTTCTAGTTTACTTTGCAAGTTAATTAAAAATGTTTTAGTCCTACTGTAAGTTATTTGTAAACAAAGAAACTCTAAGTAAATGTCAAGAGTTTAAAAATAATTAAGAAACCTAGAACTCAGAGAACAACTGTTAACACATTGCAGTTTTTACTTTTATTCAAGATAATACAACAAATGCACTTTTGTAAGTTTTTATTTAACAGTTGAAATTTCAGTCATTATCTGATTATTAATTCTTTCAAACATGCAGGTAATTGTTTCCTGTGGTTTTGCTAAAGAGTTTACGTCTAGCCTGTTTTTTTTTTCAATTTTAAAAAATTATAACTTTATCTCTGCTTTTGCAACAATATCTACCACTTCTGTTTAATGATAAACTAACTGTAGCAAGAATTGCAACATCTCATTTAGGTGTCCTCTTGAGAAATCTCTACACTAGCTGCCAAATGCATTCTTTTGGCTGAATTTATCTTTTTCTAACTGAAAATGACACTCACATGCTGGTTAGTAGCTAAATACATGAACCTTTTCTTAGTCTTATTTATGTAACTCTCATTAATCTTTCAACTGTTGATTGCTTCCATTGATTATAACACTGGAAAGATAAAATTGTAATTGGCCTAAGTGAAAAGTCTTACGTTGCAATGACTACTCTTGTAAGTCAGATGAGGGGGGAAAAACAGGTGAAAAAGGCCAGCTGAAATCTTCTAACACTCCCTTACAGCTGCAGTTGCAGCAATTCAGAGATTTATTACAGAAATAGATTTTTAAAATAATTATTAAATATTTAAGCTCTGGAATTTTACAGGAATTGTTTTGCCCATAAATTGAATTGAAGTGGTCTCCCTCTTTCTCTATCTTGTCATTGGCTTCAAAAGAAATTTAGGTTCTTTCCTAAACAAGGGAAATTCTAGGCAAAATCATGAAATAAAGCCAAGTTTTAGTTCTTTTTCTGACACGTTTTTCTCTTCTGGTCACGGCTGCTTATAAACCCTTGCAATATAGTATTGCCATTCTGTATATTGTATCTCTTTTTACTCTGATTTTACCTAAGATTATCTCTTTACCTTTGGTTTTCAATAATTATCCTAATAATTACCCTGTGTATAGTGTTGTTCTTTTTATATCTGTCTTGATAAGGGCTCATGGAACTTGAACCTATAAATCAGTGTTTTTCACCAAATTTTTAAAATGTTTACAAGCTGCTGTTTTTTGAAGGACTTTTCTGCCCTATTCTCACTCGCTTCTCTTTGGGACTCTGATTACACATGCTGCCCATAGTGTATTGGACTATTTAAGATTATTCCACACGTCTCTGAGGTTCTATTCAGTTTCTTTAACCTTTGTTCTCCCTGTTACTGAGTTTGGATAATTTCTATTCATTAATCTCATTCAATGAACTCAGCATTTTTCAGTTGCAGAATTTCTACCTGATATTTTTCATAGTTCCATTTTGCAGCTGAGATTTTGTTTATTCATTAAGACCATGCTTGCTTTGAGTTCTTCAAATATATTCTTTAAATCTTTTCCCATTTTAATAAAAGCTTCAGTTTCTTTGTAGTCTTTGTCTACTGCATGTTCTGATAAGTCCTTCTCAGAGTCTGTTTTTATTGACTTGCTTTTATTTGAATTATGGTGACATTTTTGTTTCTTTTCACATTAGTAATTTTCTTACTATACACTGGACAAGCAATGTGAAAACAACGTGACAGTTTTATATGGTTTAATTTTTAAATTCTCTATTATATAACAAGTTTTTTCATATTGTTTTTCTCATTCTTGATATCTGAGTTTAATTAGTACTATTCAGACATCCTTTTGACTGAATTAAATTGATTGGATAGCAGTCAAATTGCTACCCAGTTCAGTCAAACCATTAGCGATACTAAAAAATGTGATTTAGATAGAAAGAGATCTAATGAGCTCAGTTTTATGCCATATCTATACTGTAATTTGGTTGGGGATAACAAGAACTAGAAAAGTTGTTTTCTGGTAACAGAAATCTTTATTCTCATTCTATTTCTAACCTAGTTTCTTATTTTTTTTCTTTTTAAAAAATTTGTTGTTGTGCAGGTGTCCTGCCTTGTGCCCCATTGCTCGCCCCAACCCCTCCCCCACCCCCGCAGCCAGCGCCCCCGCCGCCCCGTTGTCTGCGTCCCTGAGTCCTCTATTCCCGTTCCTTTGCTCGCCCCACCCCTTCTCCCACACCCCCTGGCCATCAGCAGTTTGTTCTTTATTTTCAAGTCTCTGATTCTATTTTGTCTAACTTAGTTTCTTTAAAACTTGGAATTTATGATTATTTATTAGAAAGTTCACTTCTGATTTTCCCTTCAATTGCTGAGAATTTAAATAGGAGATTAATGCATAATAATCCATGATAATAGACAACTTACAGATTTCTTCCTTTTTGGCTTTATTCAAGTTACTGCCACGTGAATTCTGAGGTTACACACTGAAAAATGAGTCCAGTTAAACATAAATGAATATAGTGCAATACAAACACTGGCTATTTCTGTTTTTCTATTTGTATATATTTTTGTCATTTTACTTCAAATATCTGGGACTTTATTGCATTCCCACAAAGAAAATTAGGTGTAAATTTATAGCTCTTAGAAAACAAAGTCTTTTTGGCAATATAAATGGATAGAGATGAATCCTGATACCACCTACTATATTATATATTTTAATATTGCTTTGCAGTTTATATTCACTTTCCTATACTTACTCATTTGCTCTGGATAGAAACTTATGCACTGGTAGGCATAACATTATAAATTTACAAATATGGAATCAGAGGCTCAAAGAGTACCAATAGTACTTGAAATTCTTTGACATTAGAATACAGAACCTGACTCCAAGGCCAGAGTGTGTCCCACAGACTAGACTAGTCCAGATCATGACCATTGGTAGAGTAGGCTGATGACTTTCTCCTGGTGGAGGAAGCAATTTCTTAGAACAGTAAAAAGATCATGAACTTTTGTTATAGGTAAATATTTATATGCAAGCTTTACTAAATAACCTTGAATAATACAATAACACAATGAGCTTAATAATAACTATTTAAATGGAAAAATTTACCTAAAGCATCTGGCTAAAAAACAAACTTCAATTCAAAACATACATATAACTTCTGTTTTGTGAGCGTTATTACCATGGAGCAAATTCTTGGCTTACGAAAATGGAGGCTGCTGGGTAAATACGTTTTTTTTTTTTTCCTTAATCTCTCAGATGGGCAATTCTGAGGTATATTTTATATAGCTCCATTGCAGCTTCCCAGCATGACTGAATCTTACAGAGACAATCAGCTTGCTACAAACCCCAAAATTGCCTTTCCCTCCCTTCCTGTGGTGTGCACCCCAATCTCCTCCTGTTTCTAGGATTACTTTAAAAAATGATGACTTATAGGCACACACTTCACTCAGGGTCTGCTTTTTCAGGGGAGGGTAATGCAGGCTAAGGCCAGACCCTCTGAGGTAAGCGATGGCTATGCTTGAAGCA